GCAAGTTGCAGGTTGCACGGTGCACGTTGCAGGTTGCGGCGACTGCCTTTCGAGTGTGGCACATGCAAAGTGACTGACTGGGCGCCACTTTTGCGCTTCGCCAGGCACAGACACTTCGTTATAAAACAATTAAACACAAAGAATAAAAAAGCCAGCAAAAAACGGCTAAAAAGAGCTAAGACAACTACAAAAAAAAAAAAAAACAACAAAAAAATTTGCTGCCAATTACAAAATACGCTGCGCAATGCAAAGAGGCGAGCAAAATATTTACAAAACAAATTTATAATTAGTGGACGGTGGAAGCAAACTAGCTGCCACCCCCCCTTTGTGCCGCCCCCGTCGTTCACAGGAAGCGGGAAGTGGAAATTGCTGGTGGGTTTGCATGCGCGACCTTTTTTGGTATAATTTACAAATTGGCTCTAGCCACATCCAGAGAACCCTAACCGCTTACCCTGAATGCAATGCAATGCAATGCATGCTAATTGCATTTGCCTGTTTAGTTGTTTTTCAGGGTATTTTACCATTGCATAATATAATATAACGAGTCGAAGAAAACCTTCTAAAAATACAAAAAAAAAACAAGTAAGAAGGCTCTAGTCGAGACTGCTCGACTAGGAGATACCCTGAACCCTCCAAACTGATATTCTAATCATTCTGGACTTCTTTCATGCACACATACATACACATGCACGTGTAAGCACGCGCTCTGCTAACTGCGCAGTAAGCAGCGGCTGCGCTTGGGCTGCGCTGCAGTGTGGGCAATATTATGAGAATTTATTTGTTGAATAATTTCTTTTGTAGACATACGATTCTAATGAAACTTTCAGAGCGTAATCATATGGCTAAAATGTGTGTACATTCCAAAGCACAAGTCTCTAGTACTTGAAATGCGTTTTTTACAAATTTGGGGCAAAGGGGGCGTGGTATCCAAAATCTGTAAATTACAAAATCTTTGTGCCCATTAACTCTATATACAACTCTATATATAAAGTCTCCAGGTTTAAAAGTGTTCAAACTAGGCTGAAAAAAGCAAGTCGATTTTTCGATTATTCTCGATAAAAAAGTTATCGGACGAGTTATCGAAAAAATAAAGCAAACTTGTACTGCCTATGGTATACACGAGTATGCATGCCAAATTTCAGCTCTCTAGCTCTTATATCTTCTGAGATCCTTTTGCTCATACGGACGGACGGACGGACGGACGGACGGACGGACGGACAGACGGACAGGGCTATATCGACTCAGCTCGTCGTCCTGATCAAGAATATATATACTTTATGGGGTCTGCGATGATTCCTTCTGCCTGTTACATACTTTTCACAAAACCATTATACCCTGATTTCCCATTTTCAATGGGTTCAGGGTATAAAAAAAAGAAACACCTGCAGCTATTGACTTTTGGTCGAATATCTCATTAAATTTATTTCTTTTCGCTGCACTGCATTTTATATGCAGTTGCATTCATTAGGCGCACGCAAATGCATTAAAAATCGAACGAGCAATTCATATTGCTCACAAGGTCAATATGTCTATTGGTCATATCGAGCATTGGGCAATTAAATATATATGGTAAATATTAATATTTATTGCGAATTGGTGGTTGCTGCTGATGAATCATAGTTTGTCTTCAAGTTAATAGCAAACGGAATTAATGCAACAAATTTATTTAAAGGATTTTAATATATTTTATTTAATAATATATAGATTGAATGATAAATTTAAAAAAAAAAATCTAACTAATTTATTTTATTTTATTTTTTTAAATTATTTATTTTTTACAATTTTTTTACCAAGAATTTTTTTCCCTACAAGTAAAATGTTATTTGAATATTTTTAAGTATATATATACTAATTTAAACAAATTTTGTTTGTAAATATAAAATCTTGAATAAATGATAATATGATATGGATAAAGGCCTTAGATAGAAAAAAGATTATTAGATTTAAAATAAATAATCTTCTTTCTATCTAAGGCCTTTATCCATATCATATTATCATTTATTCAAGATTTTATATTTACAAACAAAATTTGTTTAAATTAGTTTTTTATTATATATGCTGTAGCTCTAAATTCTGACTTATAATGGGACTTTTAAAAGCTCTTAGCGCAATTACTATAGATATGATAAGAGTTTCTTTTAATTATACAACAGCTTTGATAAGCTATTTCACATACTTAGTTTGAGGCAAGTGCAGCATAAATTAAAACAGTAGCTTGTAGAAATAAATATTTTGCGCCAAGTATGTAGCTCGTTTCGATAATGCAATTTATGTATGAATAGCATAGACCCCCTCTCTTCATCTCTCTCTCTCTCTCCCTCTCTCTCTCTCTCTCTTTCTCTGTTGGTATCTGTGCAGAGTGAAAACCAGTTTGGGGTCCATTCAGATTTAGTGTAGAAATGCAATCCATGAAATTAAATAAACATGCAAGTAAATGCATGTTGCATATTCATGTCCACAGTTGAGATGCCAACTGTGTGCTGAACTGATAAATTAAACAATCCTAACTTTAAATGCAATTGCATTGCAAATTTTGTGGCTCTGGCTGAAAAAAAAAAAAAAAAAAATACGCGACTAGAAAGTCCCAGATGCGCAATGCGAAATGGCGAAATGGTAAATAAGAAATGTGGAAATGGAAAAATGGCAATGGAAATGAAATTTATGCGCTGTACTCGTTAGTTTTGATGCCTTTGATGCCACCTGACAGACGACAGGCCGACGAGAGGCAACAGCGAAAGAGGCGCCTGTGAAAATGGGCTGGGTATTAAGCACTTGTTCGCTCAAGATTCAAATGTGACAGCTAGGAAATATTTCAAGCTGCACGCGCTGCAGCACTTAATACCCTTAAGAACTTGTAAAGAATTTATATAAATTAGTAATGTGGAATAATTATTGTACCTACGATATTAAAGAATATGTGATATGCTAAAGGCTATCGACTTATGGATCTGAGTAGGTGAATAGATAGATAGATAGACTGATGGATAGATTAGAGTAAGACAGATATGATAGATTGATTCAAGCAACTGTAGATTGTTTTAAAAATGTATTGCATTTTTTCGATCTCTTACACAATTAATACAGTAAGAAAGTAAGAATTACATATAATTTTTTTTTTTTTACAAAACTAATTAATTTTCCTGAATACTTTCATTATATATTATTGAAAGAGCCCACAAGAATCAACTGTATCAAGTTTCAAGAAGCTACCTTAAAAACTGACCGAGTTCACATGGACAGTTTAATATGGATGGATAAATATTTTGAGTCTAAAACAATTAAATCAAATACCTAACATTTCAAAACACCTCTCTCCATATGTTACACTCTTTCCATCCAATGCCAACTACTCCCCTTTTGGTGAGGGCATACAGTCAGGTTTGCGGTTGGCCCACGATCCGTCAACTGAAAGCTATAATTCTCGAGTCGTGGCAATAATTAGATGCGCCTATTTGATAACTCAATGAATATTCACAGTTCTAGAAAGTTAACACTCTTGGGAATGGACCATTGGGGGTCGTCATGTGAAAGCCAAACAGATTTATGCCATACTACAAAGTAACTGCCAAGGGTCTTGCAGAAGCCATGAACGCATTCCCAAATGCAAATTCGCGAACATTAAAAGTAAAGGAAGAAGATGAAAAACAACAAAAGCAACAAAAATAAAACAAACAGCGAATTTCATGTGAAATCGTCGTCGCTGTCGTAATTACGGGCAATTTTCCATGAATTTATTAGCAGCAGCCAAAATGCGCCCCATCTCCGGCAAATAGCTGATGCCCTCCCTACCGTACGGCTCCAACATATCTTCTGCGCCCCTCCCATCGCCCCCTTTAAACAAACAGACCATAAATAGTATAAATTTCCACATGACACGCGATGATAATGCGCTTTTCAAGCAAGTTCACTCAAGTGTCTGCATCTGAAACATCATTTGCGTACAGCTGGCAACTCTTAATTGCTCAAAGCGCAAGCGACAAAGCTCCCCCCTGCGCCCCTCTCACTCACTGCGCCCCTATCCAGTGCCAAAGTCAGTCAAAGTAGCATTTTCAGTGGCATTCTCAGCTGTTGCGCTGTCGAGAGTCCAAATCGCAGTGCTTTCATTTGGCAAGTGAGACAAAGACATTGCTCGGCATTTCATTGATAGCTAGTGTGTGTGTGAGCGTGTGTGGGTCATCACCCCGTCCCTAAAGCGTCCACTCTAACTACGCCTCTGTGCATGTCATGCGCGCAGCTCATCTGCATGCTCATATCTTCGTCATCTTCGGCCTCAGTTGCTTCAATTGTGTCCCCTTCTGCCGGGTGTCTGTTTCTTATTAGCTACAAGAGAGCGAGGGCTTCGCTCTCTCTCAGCTAATATGGGGGGATAAGAGTTGGGGTACGAGCACTGGGCAATCAGTAGGCAAAAATTCCATGAATTAATTTCAGTTTTGCATGTTGTTATTTATTAAAATTTTATTTTGCGTTTTATTCAAAGCCGCGCGCGATTCTCTTTTATAGCTGCCGCTTTTCATGCCCATGCCCTACACTATGGGCATGTGTGTCCATATTGATGTGTGTGTGTGAGTGTGTATTGTGAGCTAGTTATTTTCCATAATTTTTTTGTGATTCTTATCATTGCGCGCTGTCAGTGTGAGCTGTGGGTTTCTTCTGAATGAATGAATAGCTTAACTTAACCGACTGAAAGAAAAAGAAAACTCACATATATACAAAAAATTGTATTTCATATATTAACTTCATACTTTGGTCTATTCTCATGAAACCCAATACATGCAGGATTTTTATTTATTTATTTTTGTTACAAATTATATGTAGTATTGAAATATTACAAACATTGTCTAAGATTTAAAAAAAAAATAAATAAATAAAATTAAAATATCTGAAAAAAAGTTTTAAAACATTTATCGAAAAACTGAAATTTTTATTGAACTTTTATTTATATATATTATTTCCATTTTGCCGTATGTTTCCCAATAAAAAATCATTTTCAGAAATTCTTTGATAACTATTTTTATTTTGTATTAATTAATTTTTAAATATATTTGTTGTTTTGTTTTATACATTTTAAAAATCTATTAGTACATATTTTTTATATTTTTTTAATATTTTTTATTTTTATAATTTACATATACAAATTGTTGTGTTGCTGATAAATTCAATTGGTTTACTGTTACAATTTTATATTCTTATTTTTTGTTATATATATATTTTTTATATTTAAATTACAAATGTTTTTAATTTTTTTTTTTTAATTGTTAGTTTTGCTTGCCCATTACTAAAAAGCTTATAGATAAAATTTATTGTTATTAATCATTATTTTCTGTTTGCATTTAATTTTTAATTAAAATTAAAAATCATTCAATTGATTATCACAGTATTCACGAAAAAATAAATATGCTTAAAAGTTTGTTAGATGAATATTTAAATGTTTTGTTAAAAATTGTATTTAGAGAATTTATTTCCTAGAAGTTGTATTTTTTTGTTTTTTGTTTGCTGACTCGAAAATATTACACTGCAAGAAAAGTCTTAGACTAAACATGACTTAAATATTAATCGTACGACATATAGGACAATTTCAATAAAAATTCAATGCATTTTCCTGTTGGCCGCAACAGGCAATTGCATTAATATTTTATTTGCAAATGTGGGTGTTTAAATGAACTAGTAGTAGTTCACAAGTTCATTTGATCAGCCACATTTTGGATGCTAATTTGCTTTTACTTTTATATATATATTTATATATAATTTGTTACAATGAATACGAATAATAGTTAACATAAAACAAACCACTCACACACACACACATGTGTCTGTGTTTATCTATGTGTGTATGTGTGTGCGATTGGTGCGTGAAACCGAATCATAGTGAAGAATTATGCTAATATTTGATGTGTTTTGCGACATTGATCCTGCAAAAAAAGAGCAGAAGAAGGAAATATTTAGTAAAGATTTTTTAATGACACTGTATACACGAAATTATGAATAAAAAATTAAATTAATAATAATAATTTGTCTTTACAAAATTAATGTGGCATTATTTGTTAAATGTAAAAATAGAAAAAAAAAATTTTTTAAGTTTTAAAATAATTTTAAAGCAATAAAAGAATAAATAAAAAATAATTTTTAGATAAATATTAATTAAAGCATAGAAATTAGAAAAATATTTGTAAAATATAAAAATTAAAGAACATGATTTTCAAACAAAATTAGAACAACGAATTGAACAACTTTAAAAATTGAAAAAAACACTCTAAGCGTATTTCGAAATTAAAAAAAAAAATAATAATAATAAAATAAATAAAAAATCCATCGAAATTTAAGATCATTTAATTTTTAAAAAATGTATATATTTTTTTAAAATATTTATATGGTTTTGTCATATTAACTATATATTAATTCTATATCATCAAGTAAATCGCAATTAAATGTGTTACACACCTGCTTTAAATTAGTTAAGCTGTGCGCGTTTGTTCTCTATGGTCTGCGCACATTGCACTGTGTTTGTGTTCCAATCGTAGAGTTGGGCTCGCACCGTCTCTCTAGTGGAGCATGTAGGACGACTCGTCGTCATCGGCGCCCGTTGGACTGTCGAGCGAGGGATTGATGCGTTTCTCCTTCTGCCTGCGATTGCAGAACCAGACACGCACCACTTCCTTCTCCATGCCCAGACGATCGGCCAGCTGGCTGATCTCCTCGGAGGTGGGCTTCTGATTGGCCATGAAGGCCTTCTCCAAAGCACCACGGATCGTTGTCTCGATCGACGTACGCTTTTTGCGTCTACGTCCAATTATTTCCGGCGTGCTGACTGTGGCCTGCAGGGCAGCCGGATCGAAGACGCCGCCGGTGGCCTGAATCGTGCGATCCGCATCGTCCAGCCACTTCTGGAGCAGGGGCTTCAGTTTGCACATGTTCTTGAAGCTCAGATTGAGCGCCTCGAAGCGCGAGATGGTGGTCTGGGAGAAATCGTTGCCGTAGAGCTTGCCCATGGCCAGGCCCACATCGCCCTGGGTGAAGCCCAGTTTGATGCGTCGCTGCTTGAAGGTCTTGGCAAACTGCTCCAACTCCTCCAGATCTGTGGTCTCTTCGGGCGAGGGCTCGCCGGCTGCACGCGCCGCTGCCGCACTGGCCACCGTTTTGGGCTGCGGTGTGACCTGACTGTGCGTGTGGGCGTGGCCATGGGTGTGCGAGTGGCTGGTGGGCGTGCTGGGCGTTAGCATGCCGCTCAGCTTCAAGCTGGCTGCCGAATTAGGCGGCGTTATCTGCAGCGGCTGATGCGGCGAGCTGGCCGGACTGCGCACTGCAGCTGGACTCCGTGAATGGGGCGTCGAGCTGCGCGGCTGCTGCAGCGGCGATTTGCACATACTCAGCGTCTCCTGTTGCTTCTGCAGCGCCTGCAGCTGCTGTGTGGCCTGGGACAGCGCCTGCAGCTGGCTCTGCATCAGGAACTGAGCGGCAGCGATCTGACCAGCCAATGCCGGATCGTCCTGCGACAGACCCAGCGAGCCGCTGCGCAACAGTTCTATATAGCTATTGAGCTGCTGCTGCAGTGCGACCTGTCGCTGCTGCAGCACCTGCTGGAGCTGAGAGAAATCCTGTTGCGAAATGGAGCCGGCCAGCAAGGGATTCAGGGCCAGGCCGGCAGCCGCCAGCTGGGGCGAGGATAGGCCGGGTAAGGCGAAGCCAAGACCCGGTTGCATGCTGTTAGCCACTGCAGCGGCGGCCGCGGCGGCGGCTGCCATAGAAGTGGGCGCGGCAACGGTGGGCGGCAGTACAGGTGAGACAAGCGGTGCCGTCAGCTGAGCCGGCGGTGTGCCCGCTGTCGATTTGACCGAATTGGCCGGGCTCTGAGTGCTGTGCCGCGAATTGTCGCTGGTCAAATTGAGTGCACCGCCATTGGCATCATCATAGTCCTCATCCTGCTGCTCCTGCTTGTACGTCTGCTGCAGATGATTATGATTATGATTATGAGTGTGATTGTGATTATGATGGTGATGGTGCGCCGGATGCGGCTGCATCGAGAGCAACTGTCGCTTGGCCTGCTGCTGGGTCAGCAACAGCGCTGGACTCAGGGGCGAGCGACAACGATCGCTGGAGGTGCCCACACTCGAGTTGTTGTCATCACAATCAGAAGCTAAGAGAGGGGGGAGAGAGAGAGAGAAAACAAAATTGTTGAAGTAAATGTTAAAGGAGAAAGAGAATAAAGATGAGAGAGAATATAATATAAAACTGGGCATTTCAATAAACAGCATAAATTTGAATCCAAGTTTTGTTTAAAATAAACATGAAAAAACTCTAAAGAGCTACTAACCAAAAATAGTTCATGAACCCTTTTATGAACTACTTTTTGGAAACTCCATTAAAGAACCGTTTTCTTCACAATAAAACCTCAAGGACCAACTCTATTTGGGAATCGATTATAGACAGCAAAACTAACTGAAAGCGTGACTAAATTAAACATCTCATACACCCCATTCAGCTCAGTTTTGTCCTTTGCATAACTTGAATGTGTTTGCATAATTTTCGATACAATTTCATAGTCCGTTGAGTTCGTTTGTGTGGGTGAAAGGCTTTTTCCCCAAAAGAAAGCCCACCCAAGCTAGGCTGTTCCCCGATTCCCTATATATACATAGTTTACATAGCTAGTTTACCTTTGCGTACATCAAATGGAATTCTCGTGTTTTCTTTTCATTTTGGCTGCTTTTAAGTGCCATTTTAGCATTTCAAATGCTGCGGACAAACGATTTGTATAAATTTGCTATTTCTATGCATTTTTATTTGCACAAAGGCTGTGGCCAAGCTGATGGTGGTGGCGGTGGTAGTGGTGGTGCTGGGTGGGGTAGGCCACCCAATTGATTTGCAATAATATTTAAATATGCGTCAGCTCATGTTTAGTCGAAGAAACTTTTACCCCTCGACTAGCAATCAAAAATTGAAACCCTTTTCAGTGGCAGCAGTTTCTTTGAAGTATAACCCACACAGAAACACACACAAACCCACACACACGTTTCTCTGTTCAAATCTCAATTGTGGCATTTCCATTTCCCGAAATTTTCCCCCGTTCAGCTTCAACTGGTCAGCCAGCTGGGTCCAGAAATTTTTGCATATGTTTGGTGGACCACTGAGGCTGGCTACTTTATGACTTGTGGCTCCGGATGGTGGTGGAAGCTACGTGAATTTGATGACTTATTCGGACGAGTGGGTGCACCACAGCAGAGAGTAAATTTTTTTCATCATCTGTTTCTTCTTCTTCTTCGACGTATATGTATGCTGCGACTACGTGCGGCCATTTGGTATTCAGATGATGTGCAAATTCGATTTGTATGTGTTGTGTGAGGAAGTGTGCACAGCGGCGTAGGCAAAGCAACTAAAGGGGTTTGATACGTATATGGAAGCAGAACTTTGCATTGAAAGTTGAGCTAGTTTGGGCAACTAACAGCTGAGTTACAATGAGATGGGTCGAGCTAGGGAAAGTATTTTGCTATGGAAAATTATATTAATTATTAACAACGTTGAAAATTATGTATGGCATAATATTGTACTAATCGAGTTAGAATAGGTAGTTTTGTTTTTCACGATGATATTTAAGAGAGGCTTGATTGAAATTTGCTTGAATGAGTGTCGGAAATATTCTGAATAAATTTGAGCAGCCTATCTCAAACAGCAAGCGAGTTACAATAGGTTATTATCAATAGGGATAGTTTATTATTATGAAGTACTATCTTTTAGAGTATTTTCTACTCAAAAGTAAAATTTAAATGTACTTAGGTGTTGCAATACTCAAAATAATTTGATTATACTTTTATTTATCTTTAGGTGCATGAGATCCCAATATATATTTATTCGAATCACATAACTACATCAACAGCTGAGTTACTTGAGTTTCTTATATGATAATACCCCTCTATACAACGCCGCTGTGCTTTTAGCCAACCAATAAAAAAGCCAAATGGTCAGTTTGACTTGCACACACAGAGGGCCAACAGCTCCCACACTCGTGCATAACGGCATAATTTTTGCATAAAATATATGTAAATATGTGTTCATTCGGTAGCCAAAAGCAGGGAGCAAAAGAAATCTCAGCAGCAACTGGGTCCCACACACACAGGCAAACACACATGAAAATTCAAATCAAGCGAAATGCTGTCAATAATATAAAAGGGAGTCCGAAAAAAAGGTTCAGTTGCTTGGACCCTGGACCGAGCCGTGACTAACGAAGTTCGAAACGTGGGCGTGCCAAATATACATATGTATAGGGTAATATTTGATGATGATGATTATGAGGCTGATGATAAGACTGACGATGATTTTGATGATGATGATGAGGATGCTGTTGTTGCCATGAAATTTGTAAAGTGTGAATTGCAAATTTTACGCAGTTCAGACACAAAATCAACGAGTTATGAATAATAATGAGTGCGAGATGAATATGATTTAAAAGAAATATCAAATCTATGATAATAAATATATATCACATAAACAGCCATCTGTATATATTTCTTATCAGCTGACAGCTCTAACCTCAATTGCTCAGCTAATGCGCTACTTAAGGAGCTGTTTGTAAGACATTAAAATCGACTCGAGCAACGCCTCGTTTCTTAATTTTGTCACCCCAGCTAAATCAGAGACACGAAAAGTTTTGACAGCCATTGTTCCGAGATTGTCTCTCCCTACCAATGCTATCCTAAACCCTAACCCCAACTCTACAAGAGTGAAAACCCTAAAATCTGAAACCCTAGGCACAGCGCGTGGCCAACGAGTGCGAAGTTGTTGTATTCTCTGTGTTTTTGATTGCAAGGGTTGTTCGAACTACCCGTCATCTATTTATTGTCTGCCCATTGTAACTGATGCCAGTTGAGCTGCTGTGGCACTGTGGCAGATGTTTTTCCATTCCAAATATATATATGCATGTGTATATATATATATATACATCCAAGTGGACAAATCGTAAATACTCGGACAACAGCTGAGGCTCTCTAATGGATGCTTGGTTTTCCAAATTTAAAGAGTTGCATTTAAAGTGGCGGCACTTACCGTTCGATTGCAGCGGCGAAGGCGAGCGCGACAGTCGGCTGATGTCTGCAAAGAGAGAGAGAGAGAGAGAGAGAGTGAGAAACGGAGAAAAGTTAGTCTCAGGCAAATATCTTATTAAAGGAGCGACAGCACGTTCCAAGCATAAACATAAGTCGAGTTTTTTCTTAGCGCAGCTAAATTTAGCATTTCAGTTCAGTTGAGTTCGTGCAGCAAATCGATATTCGATACATTTTAGCTAACTGACCAAATGGCTGCAGACAGGACACGCCGCTTGCATAAAAGGATATTTTTATGGCACACCTGGTGTAGAGAGCTCAGCGCAGCTCAGCTCTGCTCAGGTCAGTCTCTCAGCTCCCGCTCCTGTCCGCTCCACTCAATTTGAATTTGAAATTTTTTGTGTGAGCTCAACTGCATTTTATGGCCACATATCGAAACGAATTTTGGGGCGCGTCTCTGTGGGCTAATTTATGAGTCTTGAACTGCTGGCTGTTGCCTGTTGGCTAAGCAACATTTTGCCGTTTCGCTGTGTTGCATGCCGCGCACAAAGTGCAGCTCGTTGGCCACATTTAGCAACATTTTTAGTATGCAATTTGCAGATTAGACGAATGACTAATCGATAGAATGTTGAGGCGGCGAGCGTAGGGTGGAGCAGTTTTACAAGGGGGGCACACGTATATACATATAGATTTCTTTATATATATATTTTTGAGTATGAAACTGAAATGAAGCTATTTTTCTAAAAATTTACATTTGAATATGATTATTATATATAAATAAAATAAAATCTATACACATATAATAGGTACATCATACATAAAGCATATAGACATATGCTTTAATAAATCACAAAGATTTTTATAGAAAAATTTAAAAAGAATTTTAAATCATAGAATAATTGCTTAAAAATATTTTAGTTAATTGCATTTGAGAAAAATAATAAAGAATAAAAATAAAATGAACGTAACTTCATAATATTATTTATCCGTCAATGTTATTAAAAAAAAAAAAAAGAATAATAAAATAAGATATATATATATATATATTTATAAAAAATTATATGTATATAATGTTTTTAAAATTAAAATTATATTTAAAACACAAATATTAACAATATTAATAAAAATATTACAATTATAACATATTAAACACGCATATAATCACAATCATAATTATAATATTATTCTTCTTTAATACCTTGGGCAAATATAAATTAAGTTAAGTTGATTTGCTCATTTCGTAAAGTTTGTTTATCAATTGATCATAAAGTAAGTGGCTTTAATCCTCACTAAACAACTGCGGCCATAAATTTAGTTGCTGAATGGGCGAGGGAATACCCACATATAGCGTGTTCAGTCAATCCATAAAGACTAAGAACTTTTTACTGTTTACACTATAATATCACCCATATGATGATAGAGTTACGTAATGAACTAAACTGGGAACTCGAGATAGTTTTAAAAGGTTGGAATAAATATATATAATATAATTTGAAATGATAAAGGGGCATCTATTTTCAGTTAAGTAACGACATTATCGATATTGATTCAATTCCATCTGATCTGAGATGCAAAAAAACTCATATAATATTATATATATAATTTATATTATAAGTGAAGAAACCTTTACTAATTCCATTTCCATATAATTCGAGTCACATAATACTCATAATTATATATACATAAATTATATATATATAATATTATTATCCTAACTTCTGACCAGATCTTCTACTTAAGTATAATATGTAGTATATAATTTTAATATAGTATTTCAAAGATCATCAACTTAGGTTTCCCTTTCGTTCATTCATTCATTTAGAGTTATGTTGCCCAAGACGAAATAAATTCGATTGCCCAAATCCTAATCTGAAACTCGTCTGCTGTCCAACTGTTGTCACACACACGCACAGACGCACACACGCACTTCTGGCACACTTTTCTCTCGCCTTTTCGTTAGGTAATTAAGCGACAACTGTTGTTGTTGTTGTTGTTGCTGCTTATGCCACACTTCAGCAGCAATTCAAGAACTCGTCCACTCGAGAAGGCGAGATCTGTGATCTGCGCCGATATGTGTTATGTATGTGGCATATGGGCCGTGAAAACGTGGACCTACCCCTGCCCCCTGCTCAGTTGCCCTTTCCCCGTTCCTCGTTTCCCTTTCCTTCTACCATTCGCTCACTGCCCGGGCCAGCCCAATCAAGGCGCTGGCACTTAAAACGTTTGCGAGCCAAAACTAATTTTCAAAAACTGCGCGTTAAAAGTGCCACAATAAATTATGCAGTCTATTTGAAAAGCCACCCCCGCTGCTGCCACAGAGGGAGGAGGGGTGGAGGTGGAAGAAGAAGAAGCAGTAGAACGACGCATGCCATGCAGCGGGTCAAACGGCAAAAGCGCAACAATGAAATTTTTCGGCAAATGAAAATGAAAAATTTCGAGGCCAAAATTCGAAACAAATGCAAAAACCGCAGACGCACACAGCGGGTGAGCAGAAAGTGGGCGATAGGAGAAGAACAAGAGAGAGAGAGAGAGAGAGAAGGCGAGCGGGTGTAATGGGAGCTGTGAGGCTGGCGCGCCTGGCGAGTCGCTAAAGGAGATACTTTTGCACAATTAGTCAATGACCTCGACAGCTGTGAGAGAGACGGTGTGCTTGTGTGTGGGTGTGTATATATATATATATATATATATAAATATATATATGTATATATATATACATATATATGTGCGGCACACACATCACGTGCACAGACTGACTATCGATTGAGTTGTCGACATCGTCGTCATCGTAGTCGTCGGAAGCTGCGTGTCTTGAACTCTTGACCCCGCTGAAGCTGTGCGTGTCTGTGTGTGTGTGTGGCTGTGCCTTTTGCTTTTGTGTGTACGCAGCCAAAACAAAGCAACAAGGAGAATGCGAGGGAGAAAGAGAAAGAGAGAGAGAGAGAGAGGTGGACAGAGTTGAAGTTAGCTGCAACGGAAGTCGATTTCCGCAACGATAGACAAATTAATCGATAGTGCAGTTTGCCAAGTTCTGTTTGGATTTATATATTTATAGCTATGATGGAGTTTTTGAGATTACCATGTACTAGATATGCTATACTAGAGTTTAATCGGTTGTTGCTATATAGAAAAGTTTTGGAAGATCTAAGAAGATGCACTAAATATACAATTTTCAATATTTTGATCTTAATTCTTTTCTATTGAGCTTTATATCTGAGTATTTATTATAACAATTTTATCTAAGTATTCAATACATATATTTATCAATAGATTCATTTTATATTATATTTTATTCATTTTATATTTCCTAATTATATTTTTCCACTCCAATTTTATATTATACTTTGTCATCTACACTAATTACCTTTATCAATATTTCTGTGTATTTTTTTTAAATGTTAATTTTATGGCCATTTTGTTCTCAGAACTGGTCAAAAGTGGTTAATACACGCCCTCTTTCTTGACCAGTTCACTTCTGTACGCTGATAAGAAAAGTCAGCCTTGTACTAATTCCTCCTCTTCATCAAACTCTTATCGTGGGTTATGAGCTCATATACCGACCATGGCTAAAAATAATCCCTCACATCAAAAGAGAGAGGAAGAGAAAATCGTGCACATTGTCGTCAATCGAACGAAATAAATCGTAGCATATTAATTTAAAACTTATTGTCGAATCGATTAATTTATTGTAAGTGGTTTGCCTATGACGAAATTTGTTTACCAGAAACTCTTGACTTGATTTTTTTTTTTGTGAAGCAGGGCATTACGTGTAGTAGTGCAGGTGTGCCGAGAGATAAGCGTAGGTTAGAAATATCACAGCGAGATAAACAAATTGTGCTCTAACTAACTGTATGGAAATCATGGGACTTGGACATATTTAATCGGCTCACCAGATAAGACGCTAGCATTGTGCTAAGAATAAATTATGGTTTTGGCTAGAAACACGTGTGAAAAAAAAAATGTATATATATATTTATAATATATTATTATACATTATATTATACATTATGTATGAGATTTTTTGAGTTTTCTGTTTACTGAAAAAAATATGACTTCAGTGCGCCATTTTCTAAATATTTTATTTGCCTATATATTGCCTTCATATTGGATATCTATAATTATATTTTAATTATTTATTAGCTTGAAAAATTAAATAATTAATTGTCAAGTATTTAGTTATATGCTTTTTAATTTGCTGCTCTAAGTCTCACTTCAAATAAGATTATTCTGAATTTTTTAAGATCTGACTGAAAGAATTTTTATATTAATATAAGTAATTGAATTTCTACATTATTTTATATTAAATGTGATTTTTATGAAGAAAGAAGAAAGAAGAGGTTTAGAAGTAGATATTTCATGTGAATGAACGAGAGCTACTATCACAGAAAGCAGATTCTAAGATTTTAAATATAATTTTTAAAATCTGTTTCAACTTTTATACTCTATTGGAAATACTTAATTAACTACTGCTATTAATAATATTACAACGTATTTACGTTCGAGACCTAATCAATTTTGCGATAAGCACTATGAAAATCATTTTGTTTATAAGAGGTTTCAATTTTTACATGGTCATTTTTGTTGTTGTTGTTGCTCTACATTGTGTAAGAAATGCGTCTTTAATAAAAGTTTGTTGTTGCTTTTGTTTTATTGGTAGCATTTGTGATGGCTTTGCAATTAGCTGAGTTAACTATTGTGGCTCAGTGCTAGGCACGACAACAAGTGCTCCACAAAGTGGGTCGAGACAGAGGCACTGACTGTGTGAAAAGTGGAGTGGGTGGGGTGGTGTGGCAGGTGTTAGGGAATTCAATATTTATGACTGATACACCTGTACTCAAACCAAATGCAATTGCTAAACTACGATCCACTTCCAGAAAAAAATTATGTGGAGTTCTGTTTTTGACCACTTGCTGCGGAAGCAGAGATGACTCACAGTCGGGTATTATGAACATATATAATCGAGTGATTACTAATTTGACATCGAAAGAAATGCAGATAAATGTGTGGCGATTTTTAGTAAGCTACGCATTAAAGGCTTTTAGTCACTCGAAC